ATATACATGTATATTATTCATACCTTCGGTGTATAGTACACAAGCAGATTTTGACATCAAATTTTGGAATAAAAAAGTGCATCTTATACACCAAAAAATACGGTAATTAATTACACGTCACTAGTCAACATAATCACTGATCATTGATTAAATTGCCAAGCTCTAAATCTTGCTGTATATTAAAGCAGGAAATGCTTATATTATTTATTTTAAAAGTAACTTGAAGAGATATTTTGGAGAAAGTAAATATTTATTAGTTAATAAGTTAATTCAACATCTCAGAAGGTGAATTATATTAAATCTGATGAAACAGGAGCAAACCTATCAAGATAATTACACTCAATCTGTAATATGTCAATGAAAATAGGAGTTGAACTAATATTTCTTGTATATTTTTGTCTCTTTGTAGTTGGTTTTATTAAACTACTAATCTATTGTTCACAGATAGAATGTTCCAGTATAGTTGAACATGCAGAGCAAATAGTAAAAGAAAATTATCATGATGATGGTAAGAGATTTTGGTTAGAAAAGTCTTTTTTATATTTTTTTGTAGAAAAACTAAAGAAACATTAACTTCTGTTAATTTCAGAAATATTTTTGTATCTTTTGTGTTTTTCAAGTTTGTTTTATCAAAGAAGTTTTCTAAAAAGGGCTAGTATTTTTGCACAACTTGTTGGTTAATAATAGAAAAAAAAAGGAAAACTTTTCTTACAAACATTTTATTTTATTTTAAAGGTAATTTGAACATTAGCTATTTGGTTGGGGCAGCAATGCTGCTGTTGCCATTTTGTTTGTTTTTGAAATATGCCATAATTCTCCATTGATCTGTTTGAATCAAATAATGAAGACATGTTTTAATGCTTCTATTTTTATTTAACCACTAGTATGTGTGCTCACTCATTTTGACTGACTTTGTACTAAAGCGTTATTGAATCAACCCAAGTTAAAAGTGATTTTCAGGCTAAGAATGAAAATATTTCTTTTCACAATACAGTTTTCATATTTCATTTTCATAACCTCTTGAACTTCCTAAATATTTTTTTTCTTCTAAACTTTCTATTTGTGTATTGGTTCTATTGCTGTACTTTGGACCCATTACTGCACATGAAAAGGAATAAGTTAGAGTGGAATACTATAAGCTGCTTCCTCTAAAGCTAATATAAACATAAGAACGGGTTACCTATACCCAATACAAGCTCACCTTTCCCCATCTGTAGAGTTCATGAACTTTTAATTAAACTATATTTAATGAAGTTTTGTTTTATAAACTGCAAAGTTTCTAATTCATTCATTGTGCATAGAAAATATACATAAAAACAATAATGTAGTACTCACACTCAAAGCAGTTTTTGCATTATAATAATGTAGTTTGGGAATCCTCACACTTTCTAACAAATTTGGACTTGCAAAAAAAAATTAATGTAGCTTTCAAATATGTATTTTAGAACACACAAAAAGTGTATTGGTCACTAAAGTAGAATGTCCCAAATCTACTATAATTTATCTGGCTTACTAAGTAAGCTATAAATAGTTTTAAAAATTCATTAGTTAAGCACTTACTGCTCAATCCAAACCACATAATTCTTGTCTAATAGCTTTTGCTCCCAAAAGTAAATAAAGACATCATAAGATTTATGTAGAGGAAAATCCATTCTTTATGTTGGTTATAAGTATATCATTCAGCCGTGTAAGTTTGATTAGCAAACAATTTTGAAAGTTGGGGAGATACATTTGACAAATTTATTGATTTTTCAGCAATTAAAGAGGGTAGGAGGCTCAAATATTTAGATTTGTGCTTGTAATTTTGTATAGTTTGTGCTTCTAATTGCTTGGAAAATGTCGAAGCCTATTTCTGGAATTGAGAATTTGGGAGTTCAGGTATATCATGTGACATTGGAAAAATAAGATTGAAAATTATTTGAATATTTCCTTTTGAAATCAAGATGTTAAACTTAGATAATATAAATATTTGAAATATATACTATGTCTTCATGCAAGTTTATTGACACACATTTGCATTAATAATAAAGTTGATTAATTACATTTTGAATGCAACACTAAAAGGTTTTAACTTATACAAAAAAAGCCAGGCCCAGATGCATAAGGTTAAAACAAAACACTTGTAGTTAGGTCGCAACTTTGTGTATGTGTGTTTATGGTATTCAAAAAAGTAATATTCAGTAAATAAGGACTTGAGTTATCAGAATATTTTATTCGCCTACTGTACTCAAGTATAACTAAAACTTATCTGATGTCTTCTCATCTAAGAAAATTCTGTAGCTTTTGAACAGAAATAATTTATCATACAAACACTTTCACTCTGACTGAAAATTTTCCCACGAAACCATAAACTACTGATCAAATCACTGTTTATTTTACTATGATATGAAAAGACTCATTCTTGCCTTATCCAGTCATATTTAAACATTGTTTATAGCTATTTTTAAAACTGTTTCATTAGTAAATGATCAAACCACATGATGTGACATCAGAGACAGGTGGCAAGGGAAATACTTGAAAACAAAAATAGGATAATATGCTCTCAAGGGGTAATAGATTATTAGAAAAAAGTTTTAATCTTTGGGATGGGCAAAAACTAAAACAGTTGGAAAGATCATTGTTTACTGGCAAAACTCTTAGGAGGTGTGCAGAAATGAAAATTTGAGTTATTTTAGTTTTCTTTGTGAATTACACTAAATAAATGTTAGAAAAGTACAAATTATCAATTGTAAAGTACACTAAATTTGAATAACAATACTGGTGATCACAGAAATATCAAAGCATGCTGCATAGGGTATTTTAGTTTTTTTAATCTTGCAAGAGAATTATTAATTCTAAAGCCTTTCTGATAATTTTTTAATGCAAATTGGTTAAAGTAAGTACTCTATCTAGTAAGCTGTTTGTTATCAAGCACAAAGCTACACAATTAGATATCGATGCTTTGCCCATCAGATATCACAAATGTAATGATGATGATATATTACTTGGATAGTTTGAGTAATCAAAAATATTAGTAATTAGAATCACTAATTTTCATTAGTTGATTATTTTTAAGTTGTGCCACTAATCAATTAAGCTGAACAAATTTGAATTAATTGAAAATAGCAATGAAAAATGATAATGGCATATTTCAATTATGGATAGTTGTATAATCAGTTGAATAATTGATTATTTTCATGAAATCTAATCATAATTTCTATTACTGAAAAATTTGAATAATTGAAAACAGTAATAAATGGAAACACTAGTTGATTCTTTTTGTGACATTACCATATCTACATGGGTCCAATACACTAAACCAACTTCATATTGGAAAATTAATATTTACTATAATTCCAAATTTACCATGTGAATCTTCACAAAATTTGCTAAGCTTTTAGTAAACATGAAAAGTCTGTTGTACACAAAAATATCAGGTTTTTTAATAAAGTATTTTTACTAAAGATTTGTCTGTGAATTTAGGAAGTCATTCTGACTATTTTGAGTAAAAGATGATTTTCATGTTAAGAATAAGAATATTTTTTCATCTTACAGTTTCATATTCCATTTACATAACCTCTAATCCTCTTGACTCTTTCAGCACAGGATCAGTCCCAGGGACTAACCTCGTAACCATTTTGTGCTTGTTATAGTTTTCATGCTATAACTTTTAAATTAGTAAGCGTATGTTAACAAAATTTGGCAGATTATCAGTAAACATTACAATGCTTTCATACACAAAATATCAATTTTTTTCATTAAGTCTTAAGGTTTGTAAAGCAATGTTTTTCTCATGCTTGCTTTTTGTTGTTGTTGTTGCCTATCCAACATGCAAAGTAATTTTTCATTTTAAGATTAAAAATCCTTTTATGCATCAGAAAATGTTTCAAATTTCACTTGTGAAATCTTTATAACATCCAGATGGTTATCAATTGTTTCTTAAGAAAAGAACTTTATATTTTATATGTTATTTTCACTAAAGAATCTCTGTATTGGTTAGATAAATTTGACCAACCTTCTAACCACCAAAAAAAAAAAAACGAAATATAAATTATGCCTCTTTCATTATAGAACAAACACAGATTATAACACAAAAGCATAAATGTTGAGACTAAATAGCTTAAGTCTCATAACATTATACAGTTATATATATTTATTATTTTTATTATATTGACCTTTCAGCCATGTATGGCTAACAATACATAAGTTACAATGATGTGGCTCACCTTCACTCATAT